GTGTCTTGTCAAATGTTTGGGTTCCTCTTTTATCCCAAAAGACATGCAAATATGTAGAGTTGTCTCTCCATTCTTGTCATATACTTTTCCACATCTAGTTATGCCCATAAACACAAGCTGTTCTACTTCTGCTTCCTTCATCAACAATCCATTAGCAAAGCCAGAGAACAAGGGGGAAAAAATTATCTTTGGACTTCAGTTTCTTCTCTTTTTAACAACAGGGAAAGGTATTTGTTTAAAGCTATTCCAGAAGAAATACATGTTAACACTGAATCTTCCTGAAATAAACATTTTGTATTATCATTCTAGGAGTGCAGTCTGCAGTACAATTGGTGGAGTCTGGAGGAGATGTGAGAAGACCTGGAGACTCCCTCCGTCTCTCCTGCCAAGTCTCTGGATTCACCTTCAGCAGCAAATGGATGAGCTGGTTGAGACAGGATCCAGGGAAAAGACTGGAATGGGTTGCAAGGTTACGATATGATGGAGCAGAAGTCAACTACTTGGACAAAGTCAAGGGACGCTTCACTATCTCCTGGAACAGTGCCAATAGCCAGCTGCATCTGCAAATGAACAGCCTCAAACCAGAGGACACGGCAGTCTATTACTGTGCAAGATACACAGTGAGAGGAAGTGAATCTGAAGCCAAGCAAAAACCATCTCTTGTGAGAAGAAATTCACTGCAGAAATAAGAAGTCCCTCTTGTCTCTCTAAGAAAAAGCCCATTATAGTGGCACACATTGAACAAACTAAACACCTGACAAATCTGCTCCCAATGAAGAACGTCTAAAGATTCAACTCTTATCAGAAAATTCCTATTATTACTAAGGAGATGACCAAACCATGTTCACATTAAATGTGTCTTCAAAGGTCCTTCTTCTTTCCTTGTCACATTAAAAAAAAAAAAAGCAATTGCTTGATTTTCATGTCATCTCAAGGGTTGGCACATCAATATCACAACCCTTTGTCATTTTCATGTCATTGACACACACACATACCACAAAGGGCTCTGCTTGGAAGGATAGACTGCATACAATATGGCTTCCTACTTTCTGAAATCAGATATATCCCAATATATTTTGGATCCAACCTTTTCAAATTCAAGTGCACTGTTAATATTCTTACTTGTGTATCACAAAGAACAGTGTTCAAATCACACTCCAGCACAAACACACATCCATGACAAAACAAAGACACCATCAGTTCAAGGATTTCAGGTAAGAAGAACTGTTCATTGAGAGAAAAGACAAAAGAAATCTATCTCTTCGTTATCTCTTCAACTGCCTTCCTGAATCTTCTCCTTCTGAAAATACAGGCAAATATAAGAGGATGAAGGCCTTTTCAGCTGCATTTTAACAGCTTTGCTTAAAATGGTTTCCAGTTAAAGTGAGTTACCTCCTCTCTGCGTGTGTTTGTGTATATGTGAGAGAGAGAGAGCACCCAAACAAATATATGTTAGGAAATCTGAAGTAAGAGTTCTTTACTATCTTCCTTATCAATGGCAATTTACAAATTAAAACTTGCTTGATTGAATAAATATTGAGAGCTGTTCTAAGCAAAAGAAGGCTTTGGCTTGGCTTCCAACCCACTTTTTATTGTTTCCCTCACAGTAGTAGGTAGAGGAGAGTCTAAAAATCAATCTTTGTGACTGCAAATTGAGAGCGGGGATTATTTTAAACCTGGTATTTACTTCTGCAATCAGTCTTACATTAAGCAGCTTTTTCCTCGCATCCTTGGCTGGTTAAGATCAGAATATAGGATAAAATAATGTTTAGAGAAGCACATACATTTAGCAATCACTTGGTCAATGGCTCTTTTATCCTGTAACATATGCAAATATGTGGACAATTTCCTCTACAGCCTTGTCATATAGTTTCCCTGTCCACAGTCTCAAGCTGCTGTGTCTCTGATTCCTTTCTACTCTGTCTATAGCAAGGGAAAAGTAGGGTAGAAAATGATTCTGTTTCTTCTCTGCTTAGCTGTTTTACAAGGTAATTTCTTGTTTGTCCAAGAGGACAAATACATGCTAACTTTGAAATTTCCAGAAACAAACTTTTTGCATATTTGTTCCAGGGGTGCAATCTGTGATTAAATTGGAGGAGTCTGGAGGAGATGTGAGAAGACCTGGAGATTCCCTCAGTCTCTCCTGCCAAGCCTCTGGATTCACCTTCAGCAGCTACTGGATGCGCTGGGTGAGACACTATCCAAAGAAAGGACTGGAATGGGTTGCAGAGATAGGTACAACCTCATCTCCAATTAGGTACTCAGATAAAGTCAAGGGACGGTTCACCATCTCCAGGAATGATTCCTGCAACCAGCTGTATCTGCAAATGAACAACCTCAAGCCAGAGGACACAGCAGTCTATTACTGTGCAAAAGACACAGTGAGAGGAAGTGAATCTGAAGCCAAGCAAGAACCTTGTTGTTGTTGTTCCAGGAAACCCTCTGCTCTGCTACATTTGTTTGGTCTCCAAAGGATAACACTCAGAGAATGGTGACAGGCTAATGCTCTTCTCCCATTCACATAAACCAGGAACAGTTTACTGTAGATAAAATCTGTGACACTGACTCTCTAGAAAGAAACTTTGTTCATGAACTATTTCTTCTTTTTACACTCCCGTCATCTTTGTAGTCCTCATAGTTGCATTTCAAATTAATTTTGCCCTGGTCTCTGTTTCCAATGTACCCTTGATGAAAAAAAAATCACCAGTTATGTTCTCTCTCTCCAAGACCCAAAATCTTGTGATTTTCAGAGCCTCTCTCAAATGTCAAAGAATCAACTCTTTTCATTCCTACCATTCTGAAGTTGGCATGACAGGAAGACTATAGTGAATCCTCTAAGATGTCTTCTATGAAATAAGAAAATGCCCTCCCCACTAATTTTTGCAAACAAAATGGGACACTTTATTATTGCCCATGAGTGTGATGTGATTTTTAAGAATATAAAAAATGGGAATGGCTATATTTAATTGAAAGAAAGCCCTACTTAATCCAATATTGTATTACTCACAGTGACCAATCAGACCCCAGGGGAGTTTGCAAGAAGGGTTGGAGACCTTCCGCTCTCTCTCTCCATTGCTCCCTTACAAGTGATAGTTTGAGACATGGTGCCCCCACATTTAAGGTATCCATCTTCAAGCTGATAGTTTATGTATCTTAATCAGGGCTGTTAATTTTTTGCCTTCTTATTTGTTCTCTGTTGTTCAGTTCAGGCCTCAACAAAATTATGTAGCATTTAGGGAAAAAGATACACCCCAGTAATGCAGCACTGGAAGTCAAGATGGAGAAGACCTCCACAGCCACCATGGCTTTTCCCTTGGTACTTAGGTAGGTTGGCACAAAGGAGACCCACACACTGCAGAAGGCCAACATGCTGAAGGTGATAAACTTGGCTTCATTAAAAATGTCTGGAAGTTTACGAGCTTGGAAGGCCACAATGAAGCTGGCAAGGGCCAAGAGACCCAGATAGCCCAGAACACAGGAAAACATGAAGACTGACCCTTCATTGCATTGCAGAATGATTTCTTCAGTTGCTGAGTGTACATCTAACTCAGGGAATGGAGGTGAGGTTGTTAACCATGCAATACAAATGCTTGCTTGAAAAGAAAAGCAGGAAAGGACAATAGAGTTAGTAAGTCTTTTTCCCATCCACTTCCTCATGCTGGAGCCTGGCTTTCTGGACATGAAAGCCACAATTACATTGATGGTTTTAGCTAGTATGCAAGACACAGCCACAGAGAAGATGTTGCTAAAAATTGGTTGTCGGAAGAAGCAGGTTGCCCTCCCTGGTTGGCCCAAGAAAAGCAAAGAAGAGAGGAAGCAGAGTAGGAGGGAGGCAAGGAGAATGTAAGTGAGATCCTGGTTGTTGGCTTTGATAATAGGGGTATCTCTGTGCTTAATAAAAGTTGCAAATACCAAGACTGTGAGGAAGAAGAAAGAAACAGCAAGAGATGCTAAAGTGATGCCCAATGATTCTTCAAATGTCAGGAAGCTTAGATGTTTGAAAATGCATTGGGTTTGCTCCTTGCTTGGGTATTGATCTTGTGGACATTTGAAGCAGTCATTCATGTCTGGAAAGAAAAAGAAAACCTAATTTCTCACATTTTACTTTCACCCAGGCCTTTGGCAAGGAAGAGTGAGACCCCTCACTTCATCACACTTGCCATCTTTTATCTTTATTTTTTATGCTTCATTGACTTTATTGTAATTCCTTTGTTTGATTGTTGAGAGCCATCCAGAGTCACTGGGAGTTAGGTGGCATACAAGTTTAATAAATTTTTATTACTGTTATTGTTATTGTTATTGTTATTGTTCCATGTACAAGTTGTTACTGATATGAAAATGAAGGTTCCTATAGCCTAAATCAGGGAGGTCAAAAAGACAAGGTGGTGATTGTGGTGGTATGATCAAATACCATCAAACTTTTTTTTTTCCATTGTATTACATGCAACACCTATAAAAAGAATGGGTTTTCAGGTGTGTAATCATAGCTACCATCTTGACCTTGCAACCCTCAGCAGATGCCCCAGTCCTAAAAGAGTTTTTCTAGCAACTCTCTTGTTCATCCATTACTTTTCTGTTGATAGTTTTCATGCAAGAGAACCCCAAGCTATTCTCCTTCAGTTTTTGCTCGATCATATGATTTCTTTCTTTCTTTCTTTCTTTCTTTCTTTCTTTCTTTCTTTCTTTCTTTCTTTCTTTCTTTCTTTCTTTCAATTTAGTCTGTGAGATTACAGGAGAAAAGCAGATGATTACATGACCTACCATTCTCATTTGAAATCTTTCCTTCTGAGCATGGAGTACAATCATAACAACAAAATTTCTCCCCTTCCTTCCTTTTCTTATGGTAACCAGGATGGCAGAATTCGTTGCAGACTGAAAGAGGCATCACCTACTCATTAAAATGATACAAGTTTAAATGGGATTATGTGTATATACATGTATGTATAAATACATACAATCGTACCCAATAAACACTATTCCCTTTGAGGGTAAGCAATGTTATGCAAAGCAGAAAAAAAAGTGTAGGTAGCAGAAGAAATTAGATGAAGGAGATAAAAGAAAACAAAATCTAACTAAATCTCATTTATACCAACATTATTTACTATATTCACACCCTTCCATCTTTTCAAACTATCCTTATTTCCACCATCTCCATGCACTTATCCATACATTGCCTTAGGGGAGAAAAATCACTTCTCTTTTCAGAGTTCTTATCCAAGCCATCTTGCCTGGACTTTCTCAATCTTCCTCTCCCTCTTCACCCATTCACTCTTCCTTCAGATATTTCTTTTGTGGTTCAATGCTCAGTCATTCTCTCTACATCACCAAACCAGCTCAAAATAATTCCTTCATACTGGTTACTCCCTTTTGCATTTCATCCATATTGCTTCATCCCTCATGACTTCTTTTTTACTAGAAAGAATTTTAAAGTATCATATTCCTACTCAATTCAATTTACTGATACGTTTCTCCTGACATACTCAGCTCTCATCTCCATAGAACACAATCGGCAGAAACACACTCTTTTACAAGATCACTTTCATTTCTTTCAACAAAAAAATCATTAATTGCAACATGCCACATTTTATCCAATACCTTCTTATCAGCATTTGTATGTCTCAGAAGGTCACCATCCATTAGTAAACATTCAACCCACGTACACAAATTTCATCTTTTTTTAATCATTTATATATAGCTTGTTAGATCTGTTCATCTAAAAATCAAGACTCTGTCTCTTAAAACTTAGTGATGAACCTAGAAAAAAATTACAAGGTTCTCCCAAACACTATAATATTTCAGTTACATGGGACATGAAAAATATTCACTCTTCTAAGTTGTGAGAACCATAAATAATTAAGCACCTCAGATTGTATCTAAATTTAGTCTTATTGAGAAGCCTGATCATGAACACTGACATTCTGCTTCTGCAGAAAGAGCAATGGATTGAATTCAGATATATATTTGGAGAAAAAAAGAAAGATACCCCAATATTTCCAGAATCAATACCTGGTTAAAATTTCTGTGCCACACAATAATCTTTTCATTGATTGATTCATTTCTTTCCAGAGCTTTGGGATCTACTTTTCCAATCTTTATTCTCTGGAAGGAATTATTAGGAAGAATGACCATTCTGATTATCTCAAATCCAGCTTCCATTTCTTTGTTTTCATTAAAGGACAAGGTATCTCCTGCGGAATTGTTGAATGAAATCCTATGAAGGAATGGGTGGAGCTATTTGGAAGGGACAAAAGAAGTCTCAGGACACAACGTGTAGAAAGCATTGTGCTCATTTCCAACATTGTGCTTTCAACATTGTGACAAGGTGCTCATTTTTTATTAATACTGAAGCCACTTCCATACCATCTTAAATATATAGCATTTCCTGGGTATCTCAAATATAATTGCAGGACAGTTATTAAGGCAGGAATGATTCAATTGTTGTGTTGCTGGAGATTCAATAACAAGAGTAATTGAAATACACTATATATTTTAATTTGACTTTCAGACAGGATTTAATATTTGTGGGTGTCCGTGTTCTTTTGAACTAAATGTGTACTATATGGAAATTAACATGTGGACAATAAAATGGTTTCTATGTGCCATTCTTATCACTAAAAGGCTGGTTCCTTCACCACTGGAAAGATATATACATGCCCCCTGTTACTCAGCAGGCCAGCAGTGGCCGTAGAGAGGCTGGTGGGAGCCATGGCAGGCACTACAGAGCATAGTTGGGCTGGCGGAGGCTGCTAGAGAGCATGGGCTGGTGGGGGGGATGCAACGGAGTACAAGATCTAGCAGGAGAAAAAGCGGTGGGAGCAACTTATGGGAGCGACTTGTGACTTTCATTGCTGGCTTTCCCACTGACTTTGCTTGTGGGAAGCCAGCAGGGAAGTTTGCAAATGGCAGCCACATGACTGCACTTGCTGCAACTTTGTAATCACGAGCTAGGCTCTAAAGTACCAGATCACAATCATGTGACTGCGGGGATCCTACGACAACCAGAATTCTGAGGATTGGTCATAAGTCTCCTGTGTTCAGCACCGTCATAACTTTGAACCGTCTCTGAACAAGTGGTTATAACCTGAGGACTACCTGCATTTCCTACCTTGTAATATCTTACCCTGTGCAACACTCTTTCTCTGGAGGTATGTATGGCCCCCACTCTTTTCACTTTTCACAAGCAAATAAAATTTTATTTCAGCAAGCCTTTCACTCCAGCTTTTCTAATTGTTGGCTTTCATCATATTTATGTGGGATTGCATTTGTGTTATAACACTGTAGTTGACTATGCTCTGTCCCTGAAGTACTTGAGATGGGGGGAGGGGGTTACAAGTCTTGTTAAATAAATATTTTAAATGAACAGATGAATATGTTTTTTACTCTCAAGAAGACTCACAATGATCTCTGATATATTTTCATGTCACCAACAAAAGGAAATACATAGTAGGAGAGGAGGGGACCAAAAAGCATTTCCCATTCTAATTATAGAAATAAATATAAGCCCCATGTCAGTGATAATACACATGAGGTATTTTTATCAAATTCACTGAGGAAAAAGCTACAAGAAGTACTCTAAAAGGTAAAGGACTGGAAATATCACCTGCCAAGGCTCCAATTCTTGAAACTGTACTTGTCGCACTCCTAACTTCATCCTCGGTATCCCCATAGAAGTAATTATGGTGTGTAAAGTATGCGCCACAACGTAGACAGCATTGTAGATGCTGTAGCTGTGGCCACTCATATGCATTTCAAACACTGAATTTGGAAGGCTCTCCACATCCTCTTCCCCTGTACATGTTCCATCAGCCTTTTCAAATAGGGCAGAATTTGAGACTACGCAGTCAAAGGCTTGCTCCCAGAAGTCCTTCAGAAAACCACTTCCATGAGTCCCGTCAAATGTCATGGCCTGAATAAATTTCCTGAAGCCTACAACATCTTTTGAGTGAATGGTGAAGGAAAGGGCTCCTTGGAACAACTGGAAATCCCAGCCTTTTTGCAGGCCTGTTTCTATGAAGTCAATCTGTGTGGTCATGATCCACACCTTTCCAACCGATGCAGCTCCCTTATTTTCAGGGATTCCTAGAAAAATAAAAGTTCTCAGCCATATCAAGGCCATAGATTCTCCATAGAGGATAAATGTAGTTGTTTTATTATCTGTAAGGACTACATAAATATTAGCAACTATACCATTAAGTTCCTCAAAGATTTTCCAGTGGAATCTGGCTTGCTCTGGGATTCTTTTTGTGAAAGCTGAGCAAATTCCATTTTTGGAAAACGTTGGTTCTAGGGCTTTCAAGAAATGATCTCCACTGTCATCATTCACAATGAAAAGGCCCACCCATGTCCATCCAAAATGTTGGAGCAAAGACACAATTGCCTGATATTGAAAGGCTTCATTGGGAATCATGTGATAAAATGCCTGAGTTGTGTAAATTTTCTTCTGGGGATATGACCCATATGTGAGCTAAAAGAAAATGTTTAGACATTGTTGAATGAATTTGGAATATTCTACATGCAGTTAAAGGACTATCTAGCTACAGGGAAACTTAAATATAAGAATACATTGATTTTTTTCTTTTCCTGGTTTAAGGAATATAATGTAATTTCTGAGGATGTTCTGTGACTTTTCCCCTACCTTATTCTGAACCAAATGCTCCATCCCAAAGTGAAAAAAGAAGAAAAAAAATAG